CTTTAATATCAAGTGATTCAAGCATCTGCCTCACAGTTCCAATCTGATTCTGCAAAAGAGGCTTCTTGTAAATTATGTTTGAATTCAGATTTTCATCATTGAATTCCTCTTCACAGTTAAAACCATCAAACTTTGTGCTTGGACCTTTTCCACTTAACATTTCTTCTTCTTCTTCAACCATATCTGCCCAGCTCTTCTTATTGGGAACAACTGCAGATATTTCCAGTCCAGTTTCTGATTTTTCATTAGTTGAAGCCACTGGTTCTCCAACAAGATTCTGGGATGAATGTGAGAGCTCTGTTGTAGTGTGCTCAAATGATAGATTGTGAATGGAACCGCCCACTGTGTTTTCTTCCCATCTTGCCCATTTTTGGTTTCCATTTTGAGGCCTTGACAGAATGTTTCTTGGTTGTGTTAGTAGAACTCCTGATGCATGCTTTTTCTCTCGGTTTTCTACTTGGGCATACCTATCATTCCCTTCTCCTTTCCCAGGCTGTCGAAGATATTCTACTGCTTCATCTTCTCTCACTTTTGCAACATCACTCCAGGACCTTCTCCAGTCTTCTCTAGTAGGTGAAGGCAGTGCAACTGCAGATTTTTGCAGCCCAAGTCCTGGCTTTTCATTTTGTGAAGCCAGTGGATCTCCATTAAGATTCTGAGTTGAATGCAAACCTAAATTTTCAGTGGTTATAGTTTGGTCAAACTGTAGTTTGCGAACTGAACTGCGAACTGCATCTTCTCCCCATCCTCCCCTCTGATCTACATTAGTGAATCTCCATGAGCCTCTTCTTGGTTGAGTAAGTAAACCTTCTGCATTCCTTTTACCAGGTGCAGGTGAGGCATATGTTCTCTGGCATGCAGAAGTTACCTCTTGGCGTGTTGAATTCCCCCAGTAACCAGGCCTTTCACAAGGGCTCTCATGAGAACTTCTCCAGTTTTCAGAAGATGCATTAAATCTCTGGATTTCCTTTCTCTTATCTGGTTCCTGGGACACTGGTTCTGGCGTGGATTGCGACTCTATTTCACAAAGCATCCGAATGGCACGCTCAAAAGATTTAGCATATGATTCATCCATCTGTTTTCTCCCACACGAATCTCTTATCTCCTGAAGCAGAGCTTTTGCTTCTGCAATCCTTCTCATGTGCAGCAAGCAGACAGCCAGATTGCACTGCTTATTCCTATCTGGGTCCAAAGATAAAGCTTTTCTGCAATAATACTTATTCTATGAGAAAAATGAGAACATCTCTTTTCACCAAAAGATATAAACAGTAAATATGTTTGCAGAACAAAAAACGACTTACCTGTAGTGTTGCTCAGCAATCCCGTAATTATGTTGCTGGAGAAATGCCCAAGCTAAGTTCCCAATTATCCTGAATTATTAGAGGAAGAACAGACTTAGATAATTTTGCAGAGACATAGGTTGTAAGGAAAGGGAAGACTGAGAATCAGAGCAAGAACCACCTTGCTTTCTCCTGTTCAATTGTAATTAGAACCTTCTTGCCTTGTGACCTGGCAGTCTTTGTCCGCTTTCCGCCAAATGCTAGTCCTTCCTCAATGTTCTTCAGTTTGTTCTGAAGCATTTCAATCTCTTCTTCAATCCTTCCAGATCTCTGCAAGTGAGAAAGTTGTACACTTACTGACACCAGACATTATGAAAAGAATAGTAAATCATCATAACATATCATAACATACAACTGCAACAGAACCATTCAACTGCATAAAACAAACTGGTATTCCTGAATTGAATACTTGGGATGATTGCAATTTCTGGGTTCGATGTATGCTCAATATGTATGCTCAATAGATATGATCGTAGACTGCATGAGAACTTTATATTGCTTCAACTTCCTCGTACCTACTAAGTAGTTTAATATCTCAACCTCCTAAATCTTAACACTACTACGTTGCCATGATCTAGACATAGTCCATGCTCTTGGAATTTCAATTTTTCATGAAGCCTTCAGTGATCCTTAGCTATTAGGATAACAGGACATACAGATAAGAGATATCCTAAGGTGATTAAACCATAAGTGTATGGTTTGCATTTATCTGAAACATTGAAATTAGCCTTTGAACACAATCACATCAATTCTAATTTCCCTTGTTAATCTTCCTAAATTATATCATAACTGGATCCTTCCAATAATGAAGTTAAAAAGAGAATGGCATCTAAGACCTCCAGATAAAATCCCCTCATGATGCAACTCAAGAATCCCCTCCACTACATTCTATTTGTCTGCAACATATCAACTAAATTACCATTATCAGTGTTATGTAATGGAGACTGCATTAGACAATGCAACAAAAGGGATAAAACAAAATTTCTCTAATTACTGATCAATACACATATTTCACTACTACAGAACTTAGAATAGGAAGGGCTAATGTCATTTTACCTTGTACAGTTCAATAAGGACATTGTCAAGAGATTCCTGAGCTTCATAAGAGCAAAGATGACGAAAAGATTTGATGGCCTCAATAGCCTCGTCAGATCGATCCAACTGCTTCATCACGACTGCCATGTCTTTCAGAGAACTATCAACACGATCACCAGCATTAATAGCTGACCAGAACAGGGAAATGGCCCTACTAGGATCCTTGTCTATCAGCTGTATGAGTTGCACAACCAAATTAATATCAGTGCAACCTATCTAACAGAAAACAGAGAGGAAACAGCAAATGCAATAAGTTTTCTGCCATTAACACTTTGACTATTAGTAATTTAGTTCAATTAAAATTTCTAAAAAGTATAACCCTTCCCCCCAGATTCAGTCTATTAAACAATTATCATAAATCAAATTCAATATATATCAAGAGCTTCGAAGAACCCCAAAAAGATTCAGGAAAAGAAGAGAACAGAAAGGGAGAATCTTTATGACAAGAGGAAAAGAAAAACAAAATTCAAGAACAACCCACGAACACAAACCAGAAACAATGAGACTTAATCATGTCACCTGAACGTGCTTGGCCCTGCCATAAGGAGAGTCGCCAGCGGGCACTTTGTGTATGACATGGAAGAGATCGCCGTTATTGACCGGCGATATTCTCTTCCTCTCTGACATCGGCATAATTGCAGAATGCGTCTTCTTCCACGCCGGTTGTGGAGTGCAGAACCCTCTCGCCGGAAAATTCTTGTCGTTGGACCACATTGTCACCGTTCCTTTGACGGCCAATTCTTTCAAGTTTCGACCCTTTTCTTGAATTGCCAAGGAAATCACTTTCTCAGGAAAGTTACACCACCCCTTGTCTTGAATTCCAAGAATGCGATTTACCAATCAAAGAAACACACAAATTATAAACTCTGACGATTATAATCCGAGAAATTTCTGAATGCGATTCCGAAGAGACAGAAAGAAGATGAAACGGTGGCGTTGGTTTCTTGGATTGGGAGGCGGAAGAGTTTCTTGTGGTAGGAAACCACTGTTCTTCCCTGGAGAAAATGCTAGTAGTGAAAAGGAGGAGAGGAGGAAATAGTAGTAGGAAAATTGAGGAGAGACCGAGCGAGTGATGACTGATGATGAAAAGTGAAATCGGAAAAAGAAGGTAGCCGTTTTATAATTTCTAGCCGTTAGGATCTTGAAATTTTACGCGCAGCATTAGCGCGTGGAAGATCCCAAACTAGATTAAAAGAGATAAGAGTATTTGTTTTATATAGTAGTGTTTATAAACCGATATTTTTAAAATATTAACAAATATCAACATGTAAAATTAAAATAATCTCATTCTTTTTATTGCAGGATTGAGAGGATTTGGATTGGGGCCATTGTTGGCTCTATGTCCCCTG